CAAGGCATTTATTAGTGACAGGCCACCGCAGGCCTGCTGCTGGCCTCAGGGCCAGGAGGGGGAAGAGGGGACTAGCAGTATTTCTTGGTGTCCAGCTTCCTGTGCTGGGGGTCGTAGGGCGCCTTGGCGAAGCACATGGCAGCGGCGCGGTCGCAGTTGCAGACGAACATCTCGCACTCGTCGTTCTTGCCTGGAGGAGAAAGCAGGAGCAGTCAGACCCCACAGCTTCCTCACCAGCATGGCAGTGACGCAGGCGGGCATTGCTGCTGCCAGGGTGTAGCCCTTTCGCTGCTGCTGTCATTTTGGGGGTGTGATTCTCCCTGCTAACCCTTGTGGCCCCAAAGCTGTGTGCTCCAGCCCAGCAATCTCCTTGCTCCTTCCTTCCTTCCCTGCAGTTCTGTTTGGCAGCCTATCTGCTATTTATCTCCATTCCAGAGCCCTATAAAAGCTCCACCATTATGTCAGAGATGTCCGGCAGAAGCTGTGTAACACTTCCCAGTCAGCATGCCGATCTCCTAAACACTGCCATTAACGGGACTCCCAGAAAAGCACCACAGGGACTCAATCTGCTGGAGAGGAGACAGGCTTCCCTGTGTACTGCGATACCACGGATCTTCATAAACTTTGAATTGTGTGCTGTAAGGAGAACATTCACTCTGGTGCCCGTGTGATGTTCCCCATTTCTAACCACCAGCCCCTCCGCAGAGACTTGCACTGCGCCTTCCTGCGCAGCAGCATGAAGTGTAACACAGCCCCGTTCCGTCAGAGAGACTGGAGCAATGTTTGAAGCAGAGTGATGTGGAAATGGACATACTGCTACACGTAATCTCCTCTTTGGAGCAGCTGTATTTGTATATCTCCGTGTAGGGGCTGTCCCAGAGGAACTTGCATGACGCTAGTTTCTTTGCCTCTGAGTAGCAGTGATCATGTACTTGACAGCACCTGGGAAACAAGGAGGAAAAGGTCAGAAAATACCAGAAATGCAAATTCGGCTGATCTGTAAGATCCGTAAATATGCTAGTGTTGCTTTGACAAGGCACTGAACAAAAAAAAAGATACCCAGTGGTAAAAAGGGCAGATAGGAAGGACCTCAAAGGGACACGATTATGCCAGCTCATGGTCCAAGAGGTGTCTGGTACATGTGTACTTACTGGAGCATCTTCACAGTTGTCTACTGGGCACCGGGAAAGCAAAAGCCAGCATTTACCCTCCAGGCCCCATCAGTGCAGCTGAAGAGCTAACAGCCAACACAGTTCACCGCATCTTGGCTATCAGACCTGGGTGATCTCTAAACTGCCCAAGCCACTTGGCAGCGTTTTGCAGCTCAGCCCTGCACGTGCTGATGGTTGTGCGCCGGGCAGTGGGCGCGGAGCTGCGGCTGGGCTGCTGCCGAAAAAACCCCGCTGGAACGAGGGCAGTGTAGCTGCCATGGAAAAGAAAACAGAGTTGTTTGGATTATATTTTATCTTAGTAATAAGGCATCAAGGTGTGATAGTACACATCCTTTTATCCTTGAATCGATCTTTGAGAGAAAGCTTCATATCACAGCAGCTGGAGAGTTTTGTGAACATTTACAGGCAGAGCCAGCTGAGCCGAAGCTGGCATGCAGAACCCTGAAAGCGCAAGCAAGGAAAGAGGTTAAGCAGCGTCTTACAAACCTGTCGAGCTCATCCACTGGTGTCCCGCTGCCTCCCAAGCCGCAGTAGCAGCCGTAGTCACCAAATTCCAGCAGAGGATGGCTGTTGGGGATGGTGCATTTGATCATGCTGCGAAGCTCCCACACGGCCCGGGGTGAGACAGCAGCGCTGGCTGCGCCCACTGAGAAGAGACACAAAGATTAGAGTCAGGCACGGTGTTACCAGTCTGGGGGGCGAGTGCCGCCTACGCACCAGAGAGCAGGAAAAGCAGGGCCAGGGACTTCATTCTCAGAGGACTTGACAGAGAAACTGCTGCTAAAGAAAATGTGTCTCTATATGAGAAGCTCAGTATTTATATGAGACAAACAAGGCAGTATTTATGTTACTAAATGCAGATTTCTTCAATCGGAGGCTGTGGGCAGCAGGTTGTGAAATGACCAGTTGAAGGCCAGTGGAGTTAAACCTATGAAAGCCAGGAAGGCAAATATTTGCTCTCTAGATTTTTGCTTTTAAATTCTTTTAATGCTATTATCAGAAGCCAGCCTAAAAGATCTGAGCATTTTCAAGGGCTCTCTACTAAAAAATAGAAAATAATAGCATAATAAAAAATAGTAGCAGTGTGGTAGTTATGTTGGAAATTGCTGGCACACTATTAGCCATCCTACTAATACTGGCATCCTCTTTTCATTAATCCTGTATCTCTAATTCAGAGAATAAGGCACAGGTTGTCCACTCACCCCACATGGCCATTTGGCATGAGCTGAACTGAGAAAAATTCAAGCTGTTTTTTACTTAGAAACCACAGAGAAGGAGGTATTACTAGGCAAGAAACAGGAGCCAAGCCACCCGCAAAGCCTCTGTACCCAGCTTAAAGAAGGAGTAGTGTCTGTTTTCACGTGAGCTTAAGGGAGTTACACTAGAAATGAACTGGGCTTAGAAGTTTCAACATACACAGCTGACTTCAGTAGCTTGGAGACTCTGAGTTTCTCTTTCTCCAGCACCAAAGCAGAACTCAATTAGGCCCTGTGGTTCTCTATGCCAAGGTATAAGGCGAGTTGGGAACCTTGAAATAAGATCAAAAAATGGGTAAGAAAAAGCTTAATGAGGTCAGCCAGAGGTAGGTCCAAAATACCGCACTCGTATTCAGACCTCAGAGGCTCTAACACTGTCAGGGCTACAGGTTTGGCATTTTTACACAGTCAAGATCTAGATCCTAGACTGCTCGCTTGATAGTCAGTCTGCGTTTATTTCTAAAGCACCAAGCAAGCCTTCAGTTTTTAAGAGCAGAGGAAGAGGCAAAGCTCACCTTTCCACAACAGCCTAATATACCAGGGTGCTTGTTCAGGCAACTTAGGGTTCACCACCCTTCAGCAGGCTTCAGAGGCATCGTTTCTGTAAGGGACGATGAGGATATCTTCCTCCCCATAGGGTCTGAAACTATGCCAGCGTGCCCCCAGTATCCATAGGCTGTTGACATATCATCCATAGGACACCTAGTTAAAGGTAGACGTGCTGATCAACAACCAGAACTTTTCCGACTTCTTTGATCTCGCACAAGCTCTCTGATTCTCTGGGATTCCGCACTCACAGGTTGGCTAAAGCCAAACAGATGCTGAGTTACAGATTCAAGATTCTCATGTCCCAACAGAACACTGGACAAACATTAAGGGCTGATGTAAAGGACAGTCTGTACCACAGTTAGTTCAGAAAAAACAATTTAATCTTTTGCCCATGGATCAATCTGCTGACTTTCCCTTCAATATCTGTTTAAGTGTTCTCTTTCTGCTTTGCTACTTTGGCCGCCTTTACTCATTTTTAAATTATTATTTCTCTCCTCTCCTAATCTATGAACTCTGCGGTTCCTTTTTCCTCACTTCTCAATGTCCCATTTATTATTGAAGTTGCCAAGAAAACTTCCAATAAACTGGCCTTTTAAAGTCACAAACCAAAAATACTGTCATATCTTAGATTTAATAAATTTTAATTCAACAAGACTATCGCCAAGTGTGGGAAAGTGAGCATGCGAGCATTACAAGAGTGCCTCATGAGAAAAATCCCAGCAGGGTAAAGATTTTTCCACCAACGCTATTTTTGGTTTCCCCCAACCTCTGCTGCATACAAAGCCCCCCGGTCCTCAGTATGCTTGCGAGGACATCCCAACTTAAAACTGCTTCCTAAACTTACAGCCTTGAGCCTTAAATTAAGACTTCTCTTATAATAAAGACCTGCTGCACAGAGTTCCCTACTATTTCTCACTGTCAGAATTCACCTTTCTCTGGTAGTGTTGTCTGTTAAGCACTTTTCTTCCCTTCCCATCTCCACATTTTACTTTCTCAGATCTAGCCTCCTTGGCCCACCATAGTCATTGAATCCAGAGCATCTGAGCCGAACTTCTAAGCACCGCACTACCTCCTCCTTTCTTGAACCTACAAATATCTCCACAAAACCTCTGTAACGTAGAGAAGAGACACGATCTCTACTAAAACCACATCTGCCTCACATTATCAACTGGGCCACTGCCAAAGTCTGGGAGCAGAACACCAAGTCGGAGCCCTGCCTGGGGCTTTTATCCTAATGGCAGGATGCGCCTCCTGCCAGCTCCAAGTTCACCTGAAATCTCCTCCATTTGAAAATCTCCCCCCCACCCCCACCCCAAATAATGACAGAGAAGGACAGTTTTCAAATAATTTATTAGGAATTTAAAACTGAAATCTGGAAAAAGGGTTACAGGTGTGGAGAGAACAAACATTGGAGTGTAATAACTTACTGGCTTAAAAACACAGCTTTATTTCTTTTTAAAAAAATGCCCACCCTGAAACCGGAGCCCCAGCCTCCAGGCAGTGGCAGCACTGGCCAGAGAGTGAATCACAGCCCAGCAGCAGCACAGCTGGCCTTGGATGTCTGGAGGGGGCACGGAAGCAGTTCAGCGCATATACCAAGAGGGAGGAAAGCGCTGTCCGCAGACCCAAATTTGAAGTATATAGAATAAAAATAAACCCAATAAAATGCAGCTCTTCTTTAATTAGGAAATATTTAAAAAAACAGACATACAGACTCTTGTCTCAGTAACAAAAATTATTGCTTTGTGTTTTCAGTACTGATCTGTTAAGTACCCTCTTTACCTAAACAGAACTCTCCAAACGCATCGCCCAGGTCAGGACAAGCTCTGGCAGACGGGGGAGGGATGGAAGAGAAAAAGGGCCCTGTGGGCACTGTGGCCCTCCCAGTCCTTTTCTAAATGCCCCTCTCCCTTACAGGGGCTCAGTTTGGGGGAAGAGAGGGAATGATTTTTAAAACTTAAGATGAAGCTGTTATTTCCCTGGGAAGAGTTTGGCTGCATCTTAATAAAAGGCTTAATCACCCCCCTTAACAAGGTCTTTGGTTCACTGAAATCCAGACCCAAACCTGCCCCGTGTACCCCTGCTGGAGGCTGCCCCTGGCCGACTGCTTGTTAGCAGGGGCCTGGACCACGCCAGGGGAAGCCCCGGCAGGTTCTGGAGAAGGGACCAGATCACCCCCGCACAGGACAACGGACAAATTCCCACAGTCTTCAGAACACAGAGTAAAGCAAATGGGAAGCTGCAATTCTATAATTCATATAATCCCTGAGAAGCCCTTAACCCGCCCCCAAATCACCACCCTAATGCTTTTCTCCCCCGTTAATGACTCCCCAACCCAGCACCCTGCCCTTCAGAGAAGGACCACCCCAATCTCCCCCTAGCCCTGGCCGACACCCCTTCCGACACCCTCGCCTCCGGAGGAGGATCCCCTTTCCCAGGAAATCTTGACGCAAGCGATACGAGTTTGGAGAGTGAATTCCTTTCAAAGTAACCAAGACAAGCAGTGGCGGTCAAGCCCTTTACCTAAAGCCAAACCAGAGGCTGGCGCTACGGAGCCCAGTGATGGAGTCTGTACATCGAGCAATTGGAAGCAGCTTTAACCCGCTCAGCAAAACAGCCGATGGCCGGTACGTTTCACCCCCGCCCCCCCCTTTCATCTCATCAGAGGTCTTAAAATCTTACAGTAAAAGGTGTACAAAAAAAGAACGGAGTCCTGTCAGGATTCTGCTGGAGAGTATTGCTCACACTGCGGCACCAAGTCCAGGACCTGGAGCTGCTCCTTGGAGCCGGGCTGCAGGCAGCAGCCAGGTTCAGCTCACGATATTTACATATTATACAGGAGGAAAAAGAAAACCCCACGTAAAACTAAACCTAGGAAAAAAAAAAAAAAATCTTTCAGCTGTAAGGATAGTGTTTTTCACTTAGCAAAATATACATTTGTTTTGTTCCATAGCGATGTCCAACGTTTTCGGATCCTTGGAGTTTCACACTTTTCAAAGCCTCACATTTACAAAACAGAAACAATTAAAAACAGTTTCTTTAAAAAAAATAGAAATACATCAGTTCCTCTCAGCCTTTGCTCTCTCTGTGTCTCTTTCTTCCCTTCAGAACTGCATTCTTGTTACATACCGTGCTTTAAAAACACTGACGACAACAACAACAGAGTTGAAAATATTCAAAACAGTTTCAAAGCCAAATAAAAATACTCCTCAATAAAAACTACCTAACACAATCACAAAGCCAATTCATAAAATATGTCTACTAGCTCGGGAAAGAGCAAACAACAAAAAGAAGGGGTAGCCCCAAAAAAAGATAAAAAAATAAAATAAAAAAATAAAACTAACAGCTAATAAAATAAATAAAAGAAGAATCGGTGGGCTGGGGGCAGGGAGGGGGGAAGCGTAAACCGTCGGTGGTTAGTAAGAAAGCGAGATGATCTCCTCGGGTTCAGTCCAGTGTGGTCTGGTCAAAGGGAGAGATCAGGGCAGGGCGGCAGGAGCCTGGCAGCCAGCCGGCAGTGTGCAGTTTGATTCAAGAAAAAGGTAACCTTGGCTCATCCCCCGAGGCTCACCAGATCCTCCAGCCGCTGTCCTCGGTTAGGTCACTGGGGAATCTGCAGGACACAGCCGGGGAGGGAAGGGACAGGATCTAGAACAACCAACAGCTTTTCTCTTGGGGTTTTCTGCAGGTGTGATCTGACAGAAATACTCAATACCCAAACCTGCCCCGACACAGAGTTGCTCCGCATCTCGCTGGCACGGTGACGGCGCAGAGCAGAGATGCCTCCATCTTTAACGGCAACGTGCAGGCCTGGGGAACAAGGCCCCACACGCCGTGCAGCCTGCCTGCCCGGACCTGCGGCACTCCTGGCCCCCGGCAGGCCTGTGACGTAGCGGGGTCCAGCCGTTTCTCCAGCATTCAGCTCAGTGCAGCCCTGCCAGGCTGC